AAGACACACCTGGAGCAGACACAAAAGGACACAGGTGAGAGAGGGTGGGGCTGCAGGGCAGAGAAATACAGGGGAACACTGAAAACACTAGAAAACTAAGGAAAATAAACACAGACCATGACATACGGGAGCGATTAACCTATGAAGCATGCCAGGTAAACTGCGAGAAGATCAAAGAGACCGAACACCACCTGCATGTTATTTATAGACTGATGCTCAGGTGAGCTRCATGTCACTTATGCAACTTTGTTTACATTAAATCTCGACCTGTGCTGAGCGTGAGAGGACATATCCACTTTGCTTAACTGCCACTGGAAATCAGGAAGGAACGAAACAGAACGGCAGGTTCAAAGTAAATAAAACTATTTATTAAATCAAAAGCCGAAGGGACAACAGCAAAATACAGAAACAGGAGCACACAGGTGGAAGCCAGGGTGGAAACCAAAACAATGATTGGATGCTGGTGTAGTGGAAACAGGCTGGATAAATACAGAGCTGTGATGAGTGGAAGTGGAAACAGCTAAGCTAATAACAAGTAAAAACAGGTGTGAAGGAATGATCTGGAGAGAGATGAGGAATGAGGTGAAAGAGTAATGACACAAGAGGGAGACAGCAGACAAGACACAAGACCACAGATCCTCACAGATTCATGAACAAATCCCTGAAATGAATTGTAAATTAAGAGTCAAAGCTTTGCATTCATTGTTTTGTCTTGATCAGATTTTTGACTATTTTTACAAAGCCAAGAAACTGAAGATTCAACGTCAACCAGTTTTTAAAGTGTCTTACAATTTTTTGTAAGGAATATAAATGCTTTTTTAAAAGATAACATTAATAACATATTACAAAACTATATTAATGCCACTGAGATGAACAGTTGTTGAGATATTTGTATGCGAAGTAACAGGAAGTGGTGTCAAAGGACAATATCTGAATGTAAACAGAGGATTACAACAGCTAAGAACGTAGACTGTAGAGAAGAATTTGATGTTTCTTTAGATTATTTTGAGACAAATCACAAAGTAAAAAATGGGGCAGAGTTCAAACAATATTGTTTCAAAAAACAGAGACCAGGGAGTTCCATTTTTAAAGAGTTCTCCTTTGACATCACTTCCTGTTTCACTTTGAGAAAAGTACAAAAAGTGTGACAAAATGGGTATTTTTCTGTGTATTACCTCAAGTTTGTTAAATATCAAGATGTTTTCTTTGACTTTTTGTAACTGAATAGTATGCATGTTACAGGTATTTACATTTTTTCTTTATAGAAGTTAAATGTATTAACTGATTTACAATGAATGTGAAATATCAATCTAAATGTTTTTGTTTACATGTTTGTAAGTAGCTAAAATAATCATTATAGGTTAATAAACGATCCTCCATCATCTCTGTTCTACAGCCAAGGCCACCCCTTCCTCTTCCAAGGAAAATGAATAAAACTGCTAAATCTTTAGATGTGGATCTGATAAAAGGTAACTGGCCTCCTCAGTCACCCACTTATTGTTCAGAGGTGAGTTGTATAAAGCTTTGTCTTTTTATAATTGGGTGACTTTGATTCTTGAAACTCCAAGTTTAGAGTGGTCCTACAGATGCTTAGTGTATATATGTGTATATATATGTGTGTGTATACACACACACACACACACACACACACACTCACACACACTAAAACTACTACACTTACTAACGAACTAATATATATAATTTTTCCCCCCTGGCAGCCAAAGTGTCCTGTTTCTCCTTCAGGGAAAGTTGATCAAATTGTAAAATCTTTAGAGGAGAGGGGTCTGAAAGACAATGCTCCTTCTAAGTCCCACACAAATAACTCTGAGGTGAGTGGTTCATCTGAAAGATTCAAATTAGATTGTGACTTCAAACCATAATGCTTGAAATGTTGCTGAAAAAGTTCTCTTTTTCACGTTTTTTATTCACTGGATTTTAATTCTCTTCTACAAATAAACTAAAGTCACCTCCACACCCACTCCTAGCAAGAAAGTGGGTAACACTGGACTCAGAACATTTTGAAACTGGCCATGAATATGTGGAAATTCTAAAGGTATCAGTTTTTTGTAATTTTTTAGATTTTTTTATTTTTAAGTAACTGACATATTTTCATTCTGGCTGTCAAGTTTGATTGTGTTTTGTTTTCTTGGCACTTTTGTTCCGTTAGGGTGATGAACCAGTCAAGGAGCCAGTTAAACCACGACCTCCTCCACTGCCCTTTAGAAAACCAAAACCTCATCTTGTTCGCATGCCTGAAATAATGGTAAATATTTATAGCATTCCCTGCATAGTTCATTTATATGTATTATATCAGTTGTGTTATAAACTGTCTCTTTTATAAGGATTCCATGTCTTTGTCAGATTCCTTTGAGGCGATGACACGTGAGTGAAAACACTTTAACCATTTATTCTCTGATGATGTTTGACACTGTATCTGAATTCCAGTTTTATTGATTTACAGCCTGGAAAGATGTGTGCAGAGATCTGACATTTAGAGGATCAGAAGAGGCAGTGTAAGTCAGTTGTTATGTCATGTTTTTAGACACTATAAGTTTTTATTTGTGACTATACATGTATATTCTATAAACACGTGCCCAAACTGATTGTGTTAAGGAAGCAAAACACTTCTTAATTTTATGTAACTGTTAGACTGTAAACCAAGGAAGGTGAGGCTGTTGTGAAAGCTATGACTTTTGGAGGAATATCCAATTTCTTTGAAAGCACTGTACTAATAGGGTCTCTGCCAATTACTGTGAACGTGACAGAGCAAATACAACAGGACCATGTGATCTGCCCACACCAGCAGAGTTCAGCTGGTTTTGCGTACTGAATGTGTGCATTTCTAACTGAAATACATTAGTTAATGCCTCCATTTATAAATTGATGTGTTAGATTTAAGTTAATCAGTGTGACATAACTTAAATAAAATAATACACAAAAATAAAAAAGGTCATGACCTTCTTGCAGTCGACCCCATTGTTGAAGTTATCTCTCTGTTTTTTAATGTTTTTTTAACAGATTGTTCTATATGGACTATATGTTCTTAGGAACATGCCACGTCAGATTTGACAAACACTTCTATCTTCAGGAAAAGTGTGTAAATGAGCAGCGTAAGCTGATGACTCACACACGAGGAGAGGAGATTAGCATAATTACCACCCCAAAAACACACATATTAAGTAGTAGTCAGTATGGTTTTAGAGCCAACAATTTAACATCTATGGCACTCGTGGAGTTAATTGAACAAATAACAACNGCAGGAAAGATCTTCTGTAGCGAAGTTGAAGAAGCCTCCGACTGAAGACACTTTGTCTTTCTATGACAGTCTGATGAAGAGGATGGTCAGGGTTGTCCACAATGTTCTTGATTTTATGTAAAATCCTTCTTTGCACCATCATCTCCAGAGATTCCACAGTCGTTCCCAGAGCAGAACCAGCCTTCTTTATCAGGTTGTTTAGCCTTTTTAGGAGGATGAAGTCAACTGGACATGAAAGCCTCTACCTCTGTTTAATGGGGGACATTTTTCTTCACAAAAATGGCTTCCTTTACTCCTCTCAACCCAATGTTCCTCTCTATCAAGGATGAGAACGTCTTCATCCTTGAAAGAGTGACTGCTGGCCTGTAGATGAGTGTAAACTGCAGAATCCTGACCTGACGATGTAGCTCGTCGATGAGCTACATCGAGTTCACCTGAAACTCATCAAACTGAAGAAGTCTCTTGGAGGAGAGACAAAACGTTTCACTAAAGAAGAACCCATCCAGAGGACCTACTTACTTTTTTCTTTTTGATTTTTTTTCTACCTGGATTACTGAGATGCATCAGGATGTAAAAGAAATAGTAAACTCTAGCTACAATTACCCAAAAACGCTGCATACGTAGCCGCTCCCAAGTGTAAGGGGCTTATCACTCGAAAGCCTCGATAAGACGTCGAYGTCTCCTCTGATGATGAGCGCTAGTGCCATGGTAGCAAAATGCCGCCATGTTTATAAGGACTTATCGCAAGAACAAACATGTTCACGTGTGACTTTAATAGCATTTCTTACTTAAAGAAAACACCGCAATTGCGAAACTGTTTTTGACATTAACAGAATATTGATAAAGTTTTGTGCACATTTGCAATGGAAATGCAGCTACTGACTGGATGGTGTGGGTGTGGCAAAGTGGCGAATGCTGATGCTTAGCTGTTGCACACGGGTAGCTCTAAATCACGCAAACATGATCCGATCTGCGCCAAATTTTGTTTGCATAACTTGTGTTTGACCAGATCACCTTAGCACCCCAACCGTTTGGTCTGTCCATCTGTTCAYCTTGAGATGATTTAAATAATGAAGGCCTGTGAGGATTCCAACAAAACTGTTAACAATTGGTCACTACTGAATGGCAACGAGGGACATCAGCAATGGATGACGTTGAGTTCTCTCTTGCCATTTTTGAGGCTCAGACATATTTACCTTCTGGTTGTCAAGTTTTTGTGTTGTTCTACTTTCCTTTATTTTTTCTTCTGAACAACAAAGATTAAACTTTCCCAATATAAATGTTGGTGGTAATAATAATAATAATAATAATAATAAAAGAAGAACGAGGTCCCAAATACAAGCGGCCGAAATGGGTTTCCTCCGCAGGGTGGCTGGACTGTCCCTTAGAGATAGGG